TATATCATGTCATATGGCTCATATCTTTCTCATCAGTCACATAGTTCAGTTTCACATATGTTCATATATATACATTACATAGCCATACTTCTCGTAACATTACATTCAAAAGCATGTTAACACATAATCATGCTACATACAATTCATGTCCTTCATATATATATCATATTCATGCATTCTAACAGAGGAAATAGACTTGTCGCAAGTCTTGTTTCCATTTAGCACCATTGCAACCTTTGGTGGTTTTATCTTGACATTTTAGGTTAATTTCAAACTACGTTTGTGTGAGAAATAACTCGTTTCCCCCAACAATTGGCATCAGAGCTTCGATTGAGGTTATCCTGGTGGTTCCGTTGCTGAAAAGATACAGTTCGTGATATTGAATATGTTCGTTAGAATTAAATGTCAATATGGATCAGTTAAGACATTAAGCTCTTCATCTGGACCGGTGAGGAGGGCGCTTGAAGGGGATCGGTTCCCCTTGAATGGGTACCGATTCCCCTTGCCCAGAAATCATATTTTTAGCTCGAAATCATTCAATTTCTCTCAACACTTCTATATCATCCCCTTTTCATTCTTACTCTAGTACATACTTAAACCAATCTATATTCATTTATTTCATCTTAACCTTATAATTCTATTCTCCATAGAATCCAATAATCATCAATTTTTCATGTTATCAAACATAATTCTAATACTTCTAACTTCTTAATCTCATAGATGACAGTCAAATTCAACTTAAAATTCAACTTATCAATTCTATTTCAAGATTTGATTCAAGAACTCAAAATCTTTAATCTCTTATATACCTTTCATCTTGTTGTTTTAGAACAAATTAAGCTTTCCTTAAGCTTAATTATCATCTAATAATCAAACCCAACCTTGAATTGAACAAATAATCAACTAATGAAGAAACTTACCTTTGCCCTTGCTCTTACGGGAGGGGAAGAGAAAGGAAGAAAGATGAAATGCTTTCATCTTCTCATGTTTTTATCTCTTAATAAAGGGATAAAATATCTTTCATGACAATTACCATTTTGCCCTTCATTTCCTTTAACAATTATAAAATAACCTTCATCATATGGTATCCAATAATCCTTGAACTATTTCATTCTTATACTTTAGTCACCAAATTCCGAAACTTTACAATTGGAAGAAAGATTGTTGAAGCTGAAGAAGAAAGGAAAAGCTTCCAGATGCATGTGTTGAGCATGATGCACATGACTCTTACATCATTGGTTGCTTCATCAACAACATTCCATTCTGATGAGTGGATATTATATTCGGGTTGAACCTCATATGTCCCCTAATCAGAGTGGTTCTCCGATTTAGTGGAACTAAATACATAAGTTGTTTATATGGGCAATGACAATGCCTGTAAAACTGTTGGGATAGGTTCAATTCGATTGAAGAATCAAGATGGATCAACCAGAGTTCTGAAGGATGTCTGATACGTGCCCAGTTTGAAGAAAAATCCATCTCGTTGGGAGCCTTGGAATCCAAAGGCTAAGTACAATGAGAGATGGAGTTTTAAAAGTCACATATGGCGCACTTGTGATGATGAAGGGCATCAGGAAAAATAATTTGTATTACTACCAAGGTAGTACAATTATTGGAGCAGTTGCAGCAGCTTCCGGAGGTGATGATTTGGGCGCAACCCAGTTGTGGAATATGCGGTTGGGACATGCTGGAGAGAAATCCTTCCAAATTCTGGCAAAGAAAGGATTGTTGAAAGGTGCAAAGGCTTGCAAATTGAACTTTTGCAAGCATTGTGTTATGGGAAAGCAAAAGAGAGTGAAGTTTGGCACCACTATACATAATACAAAAGGTATTGTAGATTATATTCACTCAGATGTATAGGGTCCTTCAAAAACATCGTCTTTGGGAGGAAACCATTATTTTGTAACTTTTGTAGATGACTTTTCCAGAAAAGTTGGGTGTATCCGATGAAGTCTAAAGATGAAGTGCTTCAAATTTTCCTGAAATGGAAAAATATGATCGAGAATCAGACTGGTAGAAAGATCAAACGTCTTAGGACGGACAATGGAGGGGAATATAAAAGTGGCCCATTCTTTGACGTTTGCCATGAGTATGGTATTGTTCGACACTTCACTGTTAGACATACACCACAACAGAATGGGGGTGGAAGAGCGTATGAATCGAACACTATTGGAGAAAGTTCGATGTATGTTGTCTAATGCTAGGTTAGGCAAGGCATTTTGAGCTGAGGCTGTGACATATGCAGGCCATCTCATCAATTGTCTGCCGTCATCAGCGATAGGAGGAAAAACACCATTGAAGGTATGGTCTGGAAAACCTGCTACTGATTATGATTTCTTACATGTATTTGGATCCACTGTTTATTATCATGTGAAGGAATCCAAGCTTGATCCGAGAGCAAAGAAGGCTCACTTTATGGGAATCACCCATGGAGTGAAGGGATTCCGCCTTTGGTGTTTAGACACTAAGAAGATAATTTGTAGCATAGATGTTACCTTTGATGAATCTGCCCTAGTAAAGAAGGTAACAAGTGAAGCTGTCCAGACAAGTAGTACTCTGTAGCAGGTGGAGCATACTCCAAAACAGGTGGAGTTTCAGCAGACGATGATCCCAGAAGTTGATGCAGCTGATTCTTCAACTCCAATAGAAGAATCAGAATATGAAGAGGTTCAAACCCAAGAACCATTGGAGACACCAGAACCACTTGCAGTTATAAGGCCAAGGAGAGAAATTTGTAGACCTGCTCGATTTGTTGATATGGTGGCCTATGCTCTTCCAGTTGTTGATGATGATATCCCTATCACTTACCTAGAAGCAATACAAAGCTTGGAAAGTGATAAGTGGAAAAGTGCCATGGATGAAGAAATGCAATCTCTCCAAAAGAACAACACTTGGAAACTGGCACAATTACCGGAAGGTAAAAGAGCCATTGGATGCAAGTGGGTATTTGTAAAGAAAGATGGATCTCATAGCAAGAAAGATGTTCGCTACAAGGCACGGTTGATAGCTAAAGGCTACGCTCAAAAGGATGGAATCGACTACAATGAAGTATTTTCCCCTGTTGTGAAGCATTCCTCCATTAGATATGTTGGCCTTGGTAGCACATCTGAATTTGGAGCTAGCTCAACTTGATCACGGTGATTTAGAAGAGGAGATCTATGACTCAGCCAGAAGGATACAAAGATGGTGGTTATGAGAAATGGGTTTGTAAGCTGAACAAATCGCTATATGGATTGAAGCAATCTCCGAGGCAGTGGTACAAGCGATTTGATAGCTTTATGAGGCGGCAAAAGTATACTAGAAGCAAATATGATCATTGTGTGTATTTGAAAAAGCTCAAAGATGGATCTTTCATTTATCTTCTCTTGTACGTTGACGATATGTTGATCGCTTCGAAGAGTCAAAAGGAGATAGAAAAATTAAAGGCTCAGTTGAATCAAGAGTTTGAGATGAAAGATCTAGGTGAGGCCAAGAAGATTCTTGGTATGGAGATAAGAAGATTAGATAGAGAGGGAAGCTTTGTTTAAACAGAAGCAGTATCTGAGAAAGGTATTACAATGTTTGGCATGAATGAAAATACCAAACATGTAAGTATCCCATTGGTTTCTCATTTGAAACTTAGTTCTCAATTATCTCCTAAAACTAACAAAGAACGAGTGTATATGGAAAAAATTTATATGCTAATGCAGTTGGGGAGCTTGATGTATGCAATGGTGTGTACGCGCCCTGACATTTCACAAGCAGTTAGAGTTGTGAGCAGGTACATGCATGATCCAGGAGAAGGACATTGGCAAGCTGTGAAATGGATTCTACGGTATCTCCAACAAACCGTGGATGTTGGTTTAGTTTTTGAACAGGATGAAGCACTTGGTCAGTTTGTGGTTGGATATGTTGATTCCGATTATGTTGGTGATTTGGATAAGCGTCGATCAACTACTGGGTATTTGTTTACTCTTGCTAAATCCCCAGTAAGTTGGAAGTCTACATTGCAATCTACGGTGGCCTTGTCTACTACAGAGGCATAATACATGGCAGTTTCAGAGGCTGTAAAGGAAGCAATTTGGCTTAACTGGTTGATGGAAGACTTGGGAGTTGTTCAAAGTCACATTAGTCTCTATTGTGACAGTCAGAGCGCTATTCACTTAGCGAAAAAACAAGTCTATCATTCAAGGACTAAGCATATCGACGTGAGGTATCACTTTGTGCGGGAGATCTTTGAAGAAGGAAAGATTCTACTTCAGAAAATTGCGACATCAGAAAATCCTGCAAATATGATGACCAAGGTGGTAACAGTAATCAAGTTCAATCATTTTGAACTTGATTAACATCCTAAAAGTATGAACACTTCGGTGTGTGTGGCGCTTGTGAGCGCAATTAGAGGCACTACAAATTGGGGAGTTGAAGAAGTTGAGTAGGCTTGGTAATTTCAAGCCAAGGTGGAGATTTGTTAGATTTGTCTAAAAATTAAGTTGACAAGTTGGAAATTTTATCTTGGTTGGTGGCCAACTTATTGGAAATTTCATCTTGGTTGGTAGCCAAACTTTGAACATGTGAAATTTATATTTGGTGGCAAACTTGTACACATTGGAAAATTCTTTGGTAGGTGGCCAAACTTTGAACATATTGTTTAAAACTCAACTATAAATAGGCCTAAGTATTTCCATTAGAAATCATCCCAAAAACAAGTTCTCTCTTCCTCTTGTATTCTTCATTCTCCTACTTTGGGAATTCTAAAGAATTCATTTGTTGTAATATTGGCGATATAGTGAAGTTATTATCTGGTGTGGTGCCCGAGGAGTAGACGATATTCTCGTCGAACCTCGTAAATTTAGTGTGTTATCTCCTTTATTGTTTTATTCGGTTCTTTTCATTGTGTTTCAATATTCAATAGTTTAACAGGTTTATCCATTGTGCAACCTTTGGTGGTTTTAATCTTGACATTTTAGGTTAATTTTAAAACTACGTTCGTGTGGGAAATAACCCGTTTTCCCCAACAGGACCCGACATTGGCTTGGAGAAATTACTGCTTTTCGACTCGTTTTGCTTTTGTTTTCCCTGTAATTTCTGTTTGAAACTTTGTTGTTTCATCTCTTGTCAAGCTCGGATTTTAGCAGCACACTCACGTGTTGAAATCCATGAAGCTACATTGTTTTTTGTTGCAATGTAATTGCAACTTCTGATCTTTTATGCACATATCGTATCATTTGCTGCAGCTTCTCTTTCAATTGTTTTTGCTGCAATGTAACTGAAGTTAATCGATGTAACCACTAAACACATGGAAAACGTTGAACATAAATAGAACCCTAATCACAATATCAGGAGAACAACATTATACCAGAAAATAGAAGGATTATTAACAAATATATGCAAAATGATGTGAGAGATGATTGATTCTCGTGGTAATTATAAGTTGTGATAGCTTTATTGAAAAACATTAAAATCAATTTACATTGCACGGAATAGAGCCCGGGTTTCCTGGGTGAAAGCCAGATATCCTAACCACTGGACAACAATGGGTTGATATTTTAAGGCTTGTCTTAATGTTTAAAATTTATAAATACATTTCATTGGTCAAGGTCAGTTCAATTTCATCTCAAAGATTCCGCTTTTATTTTCCTGCCAATACCTTCCTTACACAACTTTTCAGTAGTAATGTTACCTTCTCATTGGCAAACTAGGTTTTCCAAGAAAAGTCCTCGCAACAACTCATACAATACAAGACATGGAAGCACCAAAGATAGGGCAAGCTTCCTAGGATAAACTGATCAAGCAGCCTGATGGATTTGGAGAAACCAATTACGAATCTCTCAACACTTCACCAATACACGCATCTCCAAAACCATCACGAACAACGTCGTCCACATTAAATTCGAGAGATTTGGGGGGAGGGAGAACCCATTTATTAATAGTTGAACAGTTTTTTTTTATGGGCGAGCAATGTGAGTAGCTAAGAGACAATGGAGAATATCAAAGACCGAAGAGAATGAAACAAGCCATTTAGCCTTGCCCCCATCAGCTAACCCTCCTCAACATTACCAAATCAAACAAGCCATTTTTGTTTGAAGATAAAGGGATGTATTGGGAAGGAGAAGAGGTTTTCTAGTGGTGGAAGTGCTGGTTTAGAGGTAGAGTACATTACTGGGCATGCTTTTGTTCCTAGGTTGAGTATACTTGGAAGAAACATGTTTGAGGATTTAGTTGTTAAAACATTGGTTTTGGTAAGTATAAAACATATATGCATTTAATTCTTTACTGTTTCTGTACGCAAGGATGCTCTTCCAATAGAGTAGAGATGGTTGAGATGTAAAACAGACTTGAACAAATGAAGCGAAAAGGACATTAGAACTTGTGCTATGATTCTTAAGCTCTCAAGGGTTTTAATCAGAGAAGAAGGTACTAAAGGAAAACTCAAGGGCTCCATGAATATATATGTAGTTTTTATAGGGACGAACTGAGTGGTGGTGTTTTGGATGTAGTCGCACCTTCTGAAAATTTTAAATTATTATATAATTTAAATATTTCTAAAATATTTAAGTTCATACTTCTAACCAGGGTTTTAAAAAGCGGTCCTGACCGATTTCGGCCGCGATATACGGTTTCGCTGCCGTCTGAGTTACCCGCGACTGCCGCTATAGCGCCGCGACGGCCGCAATCATGGTAAATCCAAAATAACCCAAAACAACCGCGACCGCAATTTGAAACCCTGCTTCTAACATAAACGTTTCCGTCCATTCCTAGTTCGTACACCCCTAAGGCAATTGGTCTATTTGAACTTGTCTAGTCAACACGACCAACTCAATTCGAGTAATTTTGTTAGAATAAGATTACATGGGATTATTAACTCTATTTTCATTTCTCAACAGTGCTTAGTAGAAGTACAACTTATTGTTACAATTTCAAGCTGTAAAATTACACAACATGCATATCGAGTAAGTTGGCATGACAACTGATCTCAAATATGCAGTTTATTAAGCTACAAATAAGGGATTCATGAATCAAGTTCCTTTGCCCCTCCTTTGCAAATGAATAAAACAAAATGACAAGAACAATCAAATCAAAGTAAATAGTCCCAACAGCTATTGCAACATTATGTTGATTAATACAAATATGGCACGATTCTCCATGGAACAACTTTGCAGTATTCTGCCCAGATTTCTTTTTATTTTTCTGCACAAGAAGCTTCATCTCTTCTTTCTCTTGATATAAAAACACGATCAGAACCATAGGGTAGAAGTATGGAATTGGAGAGCTGCAAAATGAATTTGTAAATTATTCATCTATTTTATATTTGTGTTCTAAACATATTCTATGATTATTATTTCCTTAAAAGAATTTGAAAAAATTTTACCTGAACCGCAAACCAAACTGAAAGAAAGTGATAGCAAGTAATCCGCTAGGTAATTATAGTGCCTTGCAAGTCCCCTTTACCAACATAATCAAGCTAGTAGAAAGTATTTTTCAGAATCAATAGTAAAAAGCACTTTTCCACGGCATTTTTTAAAAAGCGTTATCAAACTTAATCAAGAATTATAATGTTATTAGTTAAAGATTATTCGATGTTCTAATAATATTAAGAAACTAAAAAAGAGAGAAGTTCCTTACCAGTAGCCTGAAGCTAGCAACTTTCCACCAAAACATTTGGAGGCTTACTCCAAATAGGTGCTTTGGGATTCAATTTGAATTGGTGCTTTTGACTATTGGCTCCTCTATATCCAACAACACTGCAAAAAAAAAAAAACATTTTTAGGTTAAAATGTTTTACTTCATTTGCCTGGCTAATTAATCTCTAATCCCTTAGTTTCAAATGGAGAAAAATGTTTACCCTATTAGATAGACTGTGCAAATTGCTATAGCAGCTGGGACCGATAGCTCCACTTTGTTGTAGAAAAGCCACCAACCCTACAATAACAAAAATGAGTAGTCAAATTAAAACTTTATGATAATTTCTTAATTTCATATCATGTTGGAAAGGGATTTATTGAAGTTTGCTCTCTGAGATTGTAGCTATGAAAGCATCCCACACAAGTTATCTAAGAATCAACATGAACCCCAATCTCTCAGCGATCATGTCCCAACTATAGCAAAAAAACAACCATAACACGAAGTTAAAATAAAAACAAGGTTAATACAATCTAGAGAGATTTTATGATCAGGAGAACAAACTTGTAAAATTTTTGAGGATAAAAATAAATTATCAACAAAAAATGTAAAAAAATTTAAATTATTTACGCTTCATCCCTTATGCAATCCATGTAGGTGAGTGACTTACTAGCCAGTTAAATTGTCCTCGTGATAAAGGAAGTCCATAACATGTATCTATAATGCAAAATGATGAGAAAGGGCATCTTAGGAATGTTATCCAACTAAAAAACAATAATTTCACGTTAATTTTAAAGAATCGAGAATCAACCAGACATAAGAGTTTAAAGAGGATCATTGAGAGATATAAAGTTCCGAACATTATTTTAAATATTTGAAAACTTTGAAAAATAGTAAGCCCTTAGCTCCTTTCTTTGAAAAAAACTACTTTTCACTAAATTCTCTATTTTTTATATAAAGAATTCAAACTTATTAGAATAATATAAAAATGAAGAATAAACTAGAATATACATTCAAAATAAAATAGATAAATAATTAAATCCATAAAGTACTTAATGGTAAGGTTGAGCAATGAAACCAAGAAAACTGAAAAATCAATCCGAACTAGATTATGCAGTTCGGTTTGATTCAATTAAAAAAAATAAATATATAATTTAGTTCGATTTTTTTTTTGATTTTTTTTCGAATAAAAAAATGAATATCCAAAATAAATCATTTTGAACTTATTATATGACAATTTTAAATAAATAAAATCTTAAAACTAGTAATATTTTTTAAAATTTAAATTTACACTTAATTTAATCTTTAAATTTGTTTTTTAAGTTGAGTTTGAAAAGTGGTTAGCAGTAAAAACCGCAAAACTGAACCGAACCAAAAACCACGAGTTTTATGTCATTCGATTTTGATTTCAAATTTTAAAAACCCATACAATACAGTTTAGTTCTTATTTTAGTGAAAAACTGAAATTAACCAAACCAAATACATCCCTATTTTTTTAACGTAATTATTCCTACTTAAATGATAATCAATAACCAACAAATATTAAATGAAAGCAACCAACAATGTTTAATTTGCATAGTTAAAAAAGAGTACTAAATGTAGAAAAAAATACCATAAGTATTTAAGCATAAATAAATGCATCAAAAGACACGAAAATGCATTAGAGTGTAGCTAGATCATGATGGCGGAGGAGTTCTGGTCTGAGGCACTTAAAATAAGAATAATAAATACAAGACGGTAAAGAAGGTAATAGGTTAAAAGTGTAACATAAAATATTATAATACGGAACTGGAAAGTTATCAATGTAGTAACATAACAAGTTGAACCTAAAATGTTATAAACGATAAGAAAATAAGTATACGCGGTAAATGTTATGAATATTATTGACATTTTAGGTTGTGCTTAAAATGTTATAAGAATTTAAGCTGATGAGGCATTTGACATTCCCAAGATAATAAAATAAGTTAAAAGTTGAAAATATTATGAATATATACAAGAAATAGAGTTGAACCCAAGAATGTCATGGTTTACTAAGAAATAAGTTGCGATTTCGAATGTTAATATTTTATTAATAAAATGGGTTACACCCAAGAATGTCATGGTTCACTAATAAATGAGTTGCGATCTAGAATGTTAATATTTTTTAATCAAATGAGTTGCCCCAAAAATGTCTTGGTTCACTAAGAAATATGTTACAATTTGAAATGTTAATATTTTTATTAATAAAATGGATTGTGTCCAAGAATGTTAAGGTTTACTAAGAAAGTAGGTTGCGATATGCAATTTTAATATTTTTTATTATAAAAATTCTAAAGCATGGATATTGTTCCACAAGTATCAATACTTTTGAATTTTTAAAAAATATGAAAAATGAGAATGCTGCAAAGTATCGATACTTTTCCACAAATATCGATACTTTTAAATTCAAAAGTTAAAATATCATTTTTCATTTTTTCTAAAACTTGAAAGTATCGATATTTGTAAAAAAAATATCAATACTTTGCAGCCTTCTCATTTTTCTTTTTTTTTTTAATTTGAAAGTATCGGTATTTGTGAAACAATATCCATACTTTCAAAGTTTAAAAATCATGGAAAATGATATTTTAACTTTTGAATTCAAAAGTATTGATATTTGTTGAAAAGTATCAATACTTTTTATCCTTCTCATTTTTCACAAATATCAGTAGGATGTCACTCGACTATCTCATAGCGTATCAACGTGATTGTCAACACCCAAAGGCCTGAACTAAAACCTATTTCAGCTGGAGTACACAATGTAATAGCATCATCATTATACAACGTCCATAGGAACAATAATTTTCTAAACTAATTTATATAAACTTGAAATAAAATCGATTACAATTATTACCTCACCTGTTATCTTATCGATCAATAATCTAAAATCGTGCAAAGATTTTTGTAGGTGGGTGTGAGATAGTGTACCAATCCACCTATCATTCATATGAAAAAAATATAATTATTTGTCATATTATAAAAAAAAGTATAATAATCTAAATATAAACCTAGTTTATTTTTAATTACCTTCAAAGTAGTAAAAATTGAAATGAGATCGATTCTTTAAGAATCAGATGTAAAAACGACATTCAGAGCCAAACTCACGACTGCAACAACATCAGACACCCTCTAATATATTGTTTGTTTGGATGGACGACTTTACAAACCTCCTGGAATAGAAATGGTTGGCTTGTTTGGTGTTTGGCGCGCCTAGGAGGAGTCCACACGCTTGGCACATGATTGCTGGTGACAAGGCATCCACATGGTTATATAGAAGGGTTATGGTGTAGCCTTATGCATATGATGAAGACCAAACATGTGCAACAGCCTTGGGTGTGAGTTGAGCTATCTTCAAGCTTGCATGTGTTTAGCTAGCTAACAATACAAGGGCTGGTGGTGAAAGATCTTCTTAGCCGTGATCTCCCAAGCTCCTTAGCATCACCTTCAGCTATGTCCAGCTACATTTGTTGTCACTTTCAGTAACTTGTCTTCAAATAGTCCAACTAGCTAAGATGTGTTAGCCTTCAGCTCCTCTAGCTGAGTTAAGCTTCCCATTGTGTTCCACAAGCTTCCATGATGTTTCTGAGCTAATTGTGAGCTGCATATGGATCCCAAATACTCTAACAAGCTACCCAATGTGTGACATGCTTCCATGTACCTACATGTGCAAAGAAACCAAGGTAAATAAAAGGCATTGAGCTTATATAATCCAATTACCTTGCTTCCGTGCATGAATATGATCTTGTGAGGTATGTATGCATGTCATGATATAAGTACATAATGATATAACATATGTAAGCTATTGTATAAGACTTAGGAGCTAAAATGAATGCACATGAGCTAACAAATGAATGATTAAGCATGCTTCCATTTCATGAATGTAATGAATCATGCTTAAATGAATGCAAGACTAATCTAACATATTTATAACATACTTGAAATAACAATATGCCTCAATTATAAAGATGTGGATATGCTAAGTTACTTTACTCATTAAATCACATAACTAATAACCTTAGCATGATATGTATGATTATTTCATAGATGATCATAACGATATAAAGTTAGTAAAGTATTAAGATGTTCAAGAATACTCCCTTTGTATGTGGTGAAAAGATGTTTGCATCATTCTCCCTTCTTTAGGGTGATTTGTCCTCAAATCGAAGCCTTTGGTAGGTTTGAAGTGTTTATCATTGTGTTATTGCATAGCTTTGCGTTCTTTCGGCAAAAGAAAGTATCCTTTGAATGAATGTGTTCTTCCAATAGGTACCCTTTCACAAGATCTCCTATTAGGCCTTTCTTTGGAATATATATTACCAACAAGTACCCTTTTGGAATGATATTCTTCTAAGGATATCCTTTTTGGAAGTGACCTTTCATTTGGCTTTTCCTGAAAAGTGAATAGATGTGATTTTTCAAATGAATGAGTATTTACCTTTTGAAGATATGATTCATAACCCTTGATGAAGAGTTGTAATTTTGAATCCCAACCAACACCATGATTTTTTAGAATTCCTTCAATTTTTAGCGTCGAACCATCATACCTCTTCATGAAGAAATTCGGATTCATGTCTTGTCCACCTTCAATCTTTAATGGTAGTTTGTCTTTTCGCAAAGCTTGGATACTCCTTCGCATATGCATTTGATCTTGTTGGACTTATTTAGGCGTCAAAGGCACCAAAGTTACCTTGCATCATTCATGCTTAAAGGAATATTGGTTATGATAACAATCATGAATGGCCCTTTTGTCATACTGCCATGACCTCCCAAGTAAAATGTGGCTAGCATGCATAGGAATAATATCACAAAAGTACCTCATCCTTGTATCTACCAACTGAAAAAGGAATTAGGATCTGTTTACTAACGTTTAACTCACCTACTTCATTGATCCATTGGATTTTATATGGAGTTGGATGCTTTAAGGTTGTCAAGCTGATTTTATCTACCATAATAGTGTTGGCTACATTTGTGCAACTCCCTCCATCAATAATCATTGTACAAACCTTGTCCTTGACATGGAACATTGTATGAAAAATGTTATTTCTTTGTAGATCCTCCTTAATTGATTGTGATTGGAGGTATCTCTTTGAAATAAGCATTTCTCCACAATCAG